ATAAATTAAATTAACTAACTTAACAAAAAACTCGACCGACCGGCGATCTCGGCTGAGCACGGTGACGTCCAGCCGGCAAGTTCAAACATGCACAGGTTTGTCCGGCTGCAAATAGTGGCCGCCTATGACCACGTCCGAACATGCCGGCAGACCCCCACCGTGCTCCGCCGAGATCGTCGATCGGCCAACGGCAGCACGACCGATTTGGCCGGCAAGTCAGTCAAAAATTATACCTCGTTGGAAAACATTTTTTCGCCAAAAATCGCTTGAGAGAGGATTTTACAAATTTCTGAATTTTTTTAAAAAATGACACGAGTAAAATACTTTAAGGGGCGCAGTACGTAGTAATAGAGATCGGTAAATAATAACACCCTTTTAATTTTAAGGATTAAGAGAGGATAAAGATAAGGAAGACAGGAGTGATGAATGATTTCATTTACTGATTGCTTATTTTTTAGTATTTAACTATGCATTCTATCAACTTTATGTTTCTTTGTACTTTCCCAAATGATTTTTGTGCTACTGCATCGTGTTACATTTGTATTTTTCAATTGTTGGGAGATATTTGAAGTTATTTTTTCCATTTGAACATAACATATAATTGCCCCATCTACAGTTCTTTTATATATTGGGGAAGTGTGTAGCCACAACCTCGCAATGGGCCGATGACCTTTTCTCGCCATTCGCCATTCAAAACAGTTCTCACTAAATAGACTTCTTGGCACTGTACAAACCCGTACAGCTATCTTTGGACCCCTCTTGTGTATGCCACACGCACGCCGGGTATAGTTGGCTCAAACCTCATTTGCGCCGAACTGTGAGCTTGGTGTATAGAGGATCGTAATATTTCTTCAACTTATTCCCTCAACCATCCGTGAGGTCGGGAGTGAATCATACGTGCACCTTTCTAGCCCGTATCAAAACAGAGAAAAATCTTTTCATTATCATATTACACGGAGGACATATAGTGAACATTTTCGGACACATGATCTTTCTCAGGCTCAACATTCCTATGTACAATGCGAGACACTAGGTACAAACAAAAAGGACGGATAAACACTTCATCTCTAATTCTATTAACATGGACTACTGGCTACATATTAAGTCAGATCCTAGCCGTTGTTAGTTCAATAAATCACGAAGAACGGATGGTAGTATTACGACTGGTCTTTCCTTTGGACCACCTAACTGCCATGCACACAGGCTACAAAGTGCAGACCCAGCAACCCTCCATGCAAAGCCGCATTTCTTGACACCATGGCTCATTGCATAGTCATAAGTCACATTATATATAGCAATGGCTTCATCATAGATCACACTACTGTCCTTTTGACTTTCTTCCATATCTGAAGCCTCGTACAACAACTGCATTTGTTCAAGCCGGTTAACAAGACAACTTAATCACGTGAAGGTTTACTACTCTCGTCTTTCATGGGTACTTTATTACCTGCTTGTACTTGTTGATCACCTCGTTGGCAGCATAATTCTTTGACTCCTCACTCGATTTTAGAGCTTTGGACATCTCTTTGCGATAGTTTTCATATCTGGCTCTCCACATGTCGAGGTATCTCTCTGGAACTGGCACATCAAGGCATGGAAGTTTCCAGATTCCTGCTAAGAAAAGAACATATAGTAAAGCACCTCCCCCGAAGCTCACCCACTTAAGGTTTCGTGATTGAAGATTTTCAAGAGAAGATATGCAATGAAAGAGATGTTATTCAGCAGAAGTGTGGCTCTAGGTATTTCGGGAAAAAAAAAAATCGTGCAGCAGAAAAACCTGCTAGTCCAGACCAGTTCAATTATTTTAAATCAAATAATTACTCACCGTTTTCCTGAGCAGTGTCTGCTTTAAATTCTTTTACCCTTTTGTATATTTGACCCAAGACAGAGCCTGATTCATAGCTAATGTCTGGGTCCCGTTCCATGTGATGGGGAAACAACTCAACTTTCAACCCGTCCGGTACAGGGACCTGTGTTGTCAGGAACAAGAATTACAGGTTAGCATGATGTATTACGGAAGCATCCAGTATAAAAATGCCAACATTTGATTTGTCACAGCAACTCAATCCAGGCTGCAAAACCAGTTGGAACTGTTCCCGCATTCAATTAAGATCATTGTAGTCATAGTCAATTAAACCACAATTACTAAGTGTGGGTATATTTCAGCTAACGTAACCCCAGTCGTGCACAGATAAAAGGCCAAGGGATTGGTCTTTTAAGAATGCAGCTCATATGGGAATCAACTGAAGAAATAACCTTTTTCCCACTCTTTGGTGCATCTAGTGCATCATAATAGATGTCGACCAACTGAATCATCTTTGTCTTCAACAACTCCTTTTCAGTGGCACGATCATCACCCAGTGTCAACAGTCTGTCCATATATGCAAGCCAGCTATCAGCTGCTGTTGCCATGCTGAAGCTGGCAGGGTAAAATTTGCGAGTCAATATAACTATTGTAAGCACTAGTTCATACATGAAGTAAATTATGAAATAATAAACAAAATAATTTAGGCACAATACACAAGTCAAGTACAGTAAGGTAAGGGTGAGAGAGAGAGCACAAACTGAACAGCTCAAATTTTTGAATTTATCATGAATGAAAAGGGATGTGATGTCAAAGAAGTAGGGCAACTTCATGAGACGAAATTAGTCAATTAAGGACATTTTCGACAGTTGAATTTTATAGTGACTTGAACCAGATGCTTTTAGAAACCTGACTGGAATAAATCCATTTTGGTGGTGAATTTCACTTGTTCATTGCATGATAGCTGATAAATGCAACCAATAATTGGAGTGTTGGTGGAAAAGATATCAAAGCTCTTTTTTTTATGACGGTTATTGCATATTAATCCATGATTTTTTGTCAGTTTTACAATTTACTGATACTTTCTTTTGTAACAATGTCGTAGTTGGACTTAATAGATGTTGCAATTTGATATGCTCATTTTTTTGGTCACCCGGGAAGCTTATGTGTCATGACGGATGCGAGGATGGACAATTGAAGCCATGTAGGATATTTGTGTCATTATTATTTGCCTATTAATTCATGAACTATTGGTACTTTGCAAAATCATGCACAGCCTATTGAAATGTGGCAATTAGATACATGTTAATAGTTCCAACTTTACTATGGTGCGGGGTCATGAAACACATGATTTATAATAACCTGAAAAATACACATATGTATAATTACGTTAGGATAATAAAAGAATTAGAATTACAAAGAAAAATAACCTGCAGTTTAATCCATGTTCATGAAAAACAATTATAAAATTAGGATTATGAAATTCTTGCTCTTCACAAATTCCCATAAATATATCCTTCATAATAAAAGAAATGAAGATCAAAATAAGTTTTCACTTCATGTTTGTAGCTAAAGTGGTATCAGCGTTGTAGTGGTTAATATAAGTGCATTCACTTAGTAAAATTATGATGTCTTTTTATTTCAAACTGATTACCTTTTTAGAAAATTGATAAATCATATGTTTCCTTGACTGCAATTCTCTTTCAACTTTGAAGAAAAAAAAAATTATGGTGTCCTTTTAGCTTAACCCTTATTATGACAGATAATGAATACAGAAGTTTACTTGCTCCAAGACTGGTCGGCACACAACTCATATCATTTTTGCAAAGATGATTTCCCAATCTTTTGTCTGCTCCTTTTCTTGTTAACCTCATAACCAAAATCGGTATACAACCAAAATGAAGTGGAAACTAATGTAATGTGTAAGATGCAGAATATAATCTTGCAAAGACAACTGTCCAAGTGAAGTGAGGCTGAATGCACAAATATCTAGCCACAGATCAAAAATTCCAAGATGATGCTAGAAAACAAACAATAAACACACGGAGCAGAATTTCCTTGACACAAAAAGTAGCTTTAGTGTAAAACTTAATACCTTGGTGTCCTTGCCTCCAGAAATAGTTGGAAAAGCTCACGCTCAAGATGCAGTTCTGAAAACTCCTGTGGATTTTTCTTTTCTGAATGGGGAACAGGGTAGACACGATGCCATGGTTCATGTGCTCTAAAATATTTCAATAGCTGAAATGCAGGAAAAGAGTTGAAATTTCAAATAAGAGACGTGTTCTCAAAAGATGCATTTCTTGGAAAACGATTTTTATTTCTGCAAGTATTATATGGCAAGAACCATGAGGAAACAGTAATGTGGAGATGACAATACGAAAAAGAAAGATAATTTTATGAAGTCTTATAATTAAAGAAAAATTAATCAATCCTAACTCAAATATGACCCTAGTTAGGGCCTTTTAAAATGTTCAACTCCAATACTGATATTAGTGTGTCCTAAGTCAGATCGGTTATTCAGGATGGTCAGCGACTTTTGTTTTGCAACATTTTCTTCCTGTTTAAAGACCCAACACAGCCAAAGTTATCTACAGCAATGACTAACTTATCTGGATGCTGAAGCAGTCACAAACCACAGCTGCACATCCTAATTCAGACATGACAAAGTCTCAACTTTGTTTATTGCTAAAGAGCGTGCTGCAGTTTCCTATATTTTATTGAAGACTTCTTCAATTCACGATATTCAAGAATTATATCTAGTGTGGTCGTTCAATGAGAATCTGAACATTTATAAACCAATAACTAGGTTTTTTCAATGACTTGTTTCTTTGGAAATCCATAGATAAAAGCTTATGCAAACACGCCTTTAGCACCATTTAAACAAATATTTCTCACGACCTGTAATTTATCAATAGGAAACCTACAGATGCTGACCTCTGGATTTCTCGAAACCCAGTACATGTCTCCATCAAAATCACCAGTTGCCATCTCATATGCTGCTTGTCTGCAGCCTTTGGTGGAAAAGAAAATACCATATTTGGCGTTTCCAATGAACTCCTCTAATTTCTTCACATACACAGCCTTCATAATGTGTACATCTCCAAAATGCATTCCAGGATTCCTATAGACTAATACCGACCCTGAGATTGGACCATTGTCACTGCACATTTATATCAGATGTCGTCAGCAAAATAGTTTCTTGTTTGATGAAGAATACTTGGCAAATCTTTTCAGAGGTGGTTCGAGGAAAGAAAGAAGAAATCATGAAAGAGTGAGGGAGTGTTTGATGTGGAAGTACAAAATTCACAAATCCATTCTCTCACACCGTGCAGGAAGATCACATAAACAGGTGCACCACTGATGTGGGCAGTTTGGATTGTACGACGGCTGTTTCTATTCTTACAAAAACGTGAAAAAAAAAAAAAAAGTAACATGCAACATGGCCTACTTACAGAACTTCTAGAAAATAATGTGACATGTAATCTACCAATTAGAGTAAAGTTAACACCCAGGAAACATATTATGTTAAGATTAGAGAAGCACTTGTACGTACAGTATAACACAAACTTCATCATTATTTAATACCCCTGTAGGATCAGCTGTCCCCATCAGATAAAAGCTCTCAGCAACTGGTATCTTTCCTTCTCTAAGTTTAGTCTTCTCCCCACATTCCAGATTTGACAAACAATGTTGGAGGTACGGTTCATTAAGAGGTACCCCACAAGATATCATTCTTTGAGCCACAAAACCGGAATCTAGTCCATCATGGTTGGAAGCAACTGCAAGAAGAAATTTATATAAGAATAAACAGTAAAGTAGATGTTCTGCGAAGACAAGGGGGAAAAAAGGAAATTGGACCTAAAATGGGTGTGTCAGAAGTTATATTTTTCCTAAAAAACTGTGTGAAACCCCACCTATGTACTATTCTTTTGATTACTTCTGAGAAGAATATATTTATATCTATATATGTTGAAAGAGGTTGATGGAAACCCCACCTATTTACAAATCCCTCTGATCATTTGGTAAGGAGCCATATCCTGAAAATTATATATTCAAGTAGTTCAAAAATATCATTTAATTTTATCAAATATTGCACCGAACAAGTTTTTTCAAATTTATATTGAAATTCACAATATCATTAAAAAATTTATATAAATGAATTAATTATAAGAAAAATAAATAATATAGAAAATAATAATTTTTTAATTTCAAAATAATATATGGTGCAGTATTTTCTTTCTTTTTTTTTCCCAAAACGATAGAAGGCACTATATTAAATCTCAAGCGAACAAAGTTCGAATACAAGAGTCTACAAATCGAAAATACAAACTTATGTTGCAGTATTTTCCAATTAAAGGTTTTTTATAATATTTGACACAATTTTTTAAATTTAGCATAACTTATTTAGAAATATTCCATGAGTATTATTTATTGGTAAATTTTAAATATGTTGAATTTTTACTATCCTTAATTATAAACAGGAACTCCAAAATCAAACTTATTTTATAACGAGTGAAATAAATCAATAAATCATATCTATATATCTAAAAAGGTTGATGTTAAATTCTTTTTTATAAAGCAAAAATAATTGAGTCAAAACTTTGACTTACTAATTGTGGAAGCTTTTTTAAAATCCGGATTTTTCGATTAATTTTCGCAATTAGTTAGATTTTTAGATTTTTTTTTTTTATAATAGAGGAAAGTCATTCATAATTCACGCATATAAAATAGTTCAGTCGAGTTTCACACAGTTAAATTCATTTCACAGTTTGGTTTATAGATAAAAAATACAAAACCCAATTTTCTTGCCATTCGTTTGGATTTATTTCAGTACAAAATCAATTGACATAAAAATGCGATATAATATATAATTTGTTCACACGCTTTCAATCTATACTAATATATCTTAAAACATTTTTTTTAATCATTAAAACATGTGAACATAAAATTTAACGATTCCTTATTTTATGTATGTCAATTTGAAAGATGATCCTAGATACTATTTTTTTATCATATTCTCCAACTCTTACAAGATTCGAAATACAGAAAAAAAAATATCGAAATACGATGAATATAAAAATGACACTATTGTGAGATACACTTGATGTAGTCAATCGCAACGACAAACCTTATTTAAAACTGACACCAGTCTAATCTCACACTAGATGTAGTCAATCGCAGCAACAAACATTAGTTAAAACTGACACCAGTCTAATTTAAGTAAAATATGTAAACTTTAAACGTGTTTGGTACATACTTTTAAACATGTTGATTAGACAAATTTTAAGGATATTATAAGGATTAAACATATATATATTTACATATGTTAGTGAGAATCCCGTGCGATGCACGGGGATTTCGTAACTTAAAATATTTTTGCACAACTTTATTTTGACAATGCATTAGCCCGTGATCCGTTTATATTAATAGAAATAGTATTTTGACATATATATTTTTTTAATACAAAATACTATTAATTTTACATATTTTAGTTCATCATAATACTCAAATATTATTTTATACAAAAAATAATGTCAATATTATTTAAAACATTTATAGAATTAATATTCCACTTTTATATATTGATAAATATTTAATGTAAATTAATATATTTTATTGATGTGATTAATTTAAAAATATTCGAGTAAATCTAATGTTTCAGGAAAAAAAAATCTAGTATTTGTTAGGAATGTGATAGATCTCGATATTTTAGGTACAAATATATAATATATATGTACAACTATATGATATGTATATCTTGAGATACAAAAGAAGTTTTTATGTGATTTAATACCATAATAAACCGCCGCAATTACTTAAATTGTATTTTTAAATCATATCGTAAAATGTTTAAATAGTTTCCAGAGTTAGTAAACAACATTTTTTTGACGGGAAATAGTTACTATTAAAAAAATAATCAAACCTTTATTTATATATATATATGCTAAATTTAAGTATATATATTTTTCTTATATAATAGTCTAGAAAAAATTGAGGTAATTTCACATTTTTAAATAATAATATATAATATTTTAATACTTTCACATATGTTATATAATAGTCACGTATTCTTAATGTTTTTTGGTTGTATTATCGTTAACACATACAATATTTAAATACTTTTAAACATATTTACATAATTTTTTTACACATTCTTTAATATCTATGTGCATAAAAAGAGAATAGATTTATAAAAGATTTTTCAGACAATAAATATACTACATGTTAAATAAAAAAAATCTCATTTTATTTGTTTTATAATATTTCGAGTTGCATTAATTTTGATTTGTATGTGTAAAAATTGATAAACCAATAAAAGAGCAAATGACTGTAAGAATTTAAAAATAAAAAAATAAATCTAATTTTTTAAATATTTTCTATTAACTTCTAAACGAAATTATGTCATAACTCGTCATAATTTTCTCAACCGTCCGCATGTAGTATTTCACACTTTTCTCTTCAATCAAATATATAAAAGCTTCACAAATTTTACTTCACAAAGAAAGTGTTCAATAATTTATATTGTTTTTTTTTCCTTCTTTGCATTCCATATTTTTTGTTACATATATATAAATCATACTAATTTTAATATTTCACACGTTAAACATTTTCAAAAAACTATACCATCTCGTGCATCGCACAGGCTACGCGCTAGTATTAAACATTTTCAAACTATTTTTATACTAATCAATTTATCAATGATTTTTATATAAGCAACTTATAATTAAGATAATTTTTAGGCATGAGTTCTGTGCTCAGCCCATTGGAATCCAATATTTTTGTTCTAAAACATTCTAGAAACAAAGGATAGATTAAGTAGGAGATAAGGGATATGGACAATCATAACATGTATTACACGAGTTGTTATGGAAAATACCTCTAATTGCTGCACGCCTATTGGAGTACACATTTCGAGTCTCCTCCAAAGCGTTCATCAGCAAATTCAAAAAGAATTCTTGAGGAACCCCTCCATAGCTTAGAAGGGCAATCAAATATTTTGAGAGATAATTTCTGCTCGGTCTACGACTGAAAGACATATTCAATAATCTTGAATTAATTAAAAGAACGCTGATGGTTGTTAATCATATCATCAAATGGATACTTGATTTCCAGGTTCAAGTTTTGACAATCCATAGTGTTATCAAGAGAAAGATTAGATAATGCATGTGATTCAACAAATCATACCATATAAAATCAGGGAAGTAAACAGAAGGGTTTTTGCTAAAGTATTAGAAAATCTGCTAGATGTTCAGCAAGGCAAACATACATGTTGCTGAATGAAAATTGAACAAACATGGCCATGTGCAGACACTTTCGATAGGACAAATAGCACATAAAAGGAAAGTATTGGTTGAGTGCATATCTTGGTGCATCTAACCCTCAGGATACTATAACTTGGTGTAGAGGGCAGGAGTTCACAGGAGAAGCTTGCTAAACTCTTTAAATACAAACCCAAATTTTCTCCAAAAGTTAAATTAGTTTTCTATTCCAAGTATATATTGTAGATTTAAGTTGACCATCCTAATCCTTTATTACAGACTCCATAAAGTAACTTCAAAAATGTTTTTAATTTTAAATGACTAACAATCCATTGCTAACAAATGTGTTTTTGTTGTGCATGTCTACATGTGTTTATTACTTCATTAATGCTGCTGAAGAAGATATATAACGAGGAAACAGAACTTTTTGTAGTTAGCCACCAAACTAGCATACTAGTTTTGCTAGGTTACCAGAGTTGAATTAGAGGGTGATAAAGGAATAGAGTTGAAATTGTAGAAGATTGCATATCGAGAGATAAAGTTGTATTTGTGCTTGGGAACATTTGATACTGGGACTATTCTGATAAGTACAAATTTTGGGAATAACTTTTATCAAGGATGCAAGCTAAAATCTTCAAGTGCAAGCCACTCCATCCAAAGAGCTTAAAAACTAAAATGCGTCTATCTAGTTTGTGAATTAGAACTCAGAAACCTATTCAGAACCAATTTCTGATTGATCCAATACTTCAAGCTGATTGTATGGACTTGAGAAAGGGCATACTTCAAGAGAGAATCAAATAGCAACTGGACTATAATCCTTTTAAATGGGTTCATTGGATTTCATATTCTGTACACTCTAAACTAGTTTTTAGAAGTTTCTTGAAGATTGAACTGTTGAAGGACATAAAACATCTCCATCTATTTCACTGCTCTGTTTCTTTTTAATTTATATGTGCTGATTACTTTCGACACACACATCTAGAAAACTATGACATCTCTTCAACAAAGATTACCCTTTTTTGTTTAAATTTTCCAATACAAGATGCTATGATCATTGTGAAGAGGGAAACAATGCACAAAACATACACTAGTATACGTATGCCGAGTGTCATCTTATTGACATAATATATGTCAGCTAACCCATACTCCGTGTAGCACCAAGATAAAGCAAGGTGAAAATCTGCAATTAAAGTGAACAATTATGGAAGATACCTAATGTTAACAATCTCCAGTGAGTTAAAAGATCCAGTCGCTGGCAGTGTCTCGTCCTTTTCAACCTTAATCATGGAAGGTCTAATCTGAATTGTTCCTGCTTCAAGCTACAGTAAATTGGGGTTGAAAAAGCAATGAATCAATAATGTAAGAAGCAAAAATCAAATGTTTCAGCAACAATATTAGCTCTCTGCTGAAAGAACAGGATGAAAGTCAGAAAACTAATAATATCATGTACATAAATTAGTCATGGACAAGGATCGAACCGGCCCGGAACCCCTTAAGGGTCGGTTCAGGGTCGGGTTTTATTTCATTTCGACCCGTCGGGCCGGGCGGGCCGGGCCCAAGTCAGAAGACGGGTCGTAGCTGTTTATGTTAATTTTTTTTAGGAAAATGCTACAAATACATAACAAATGTACATAGAGATGTAGATAACACTCACATGGAGTGAGGTCCACTTGATTTTTTAATTTTGGTGGGACCCACTCAATATGAGTATTATGTACTTCTCTATGTACACTATTATGTACCTATAGCATTACTTTTTTTTAAACCAGCGGTTCAACGAACCGACCCTTGGATATAGCCGGGCTATTTTTGGACCCAACATTTGAGGCCGCCGACCCGGCGGGCCAGGCCGGGTCGTGAACCAGTCCGGCCTTTGAACACTGTAACAACAAATTTCGTGTATTGAATTTAAAAACACGAAAATTATTATTCAAATGAATTTCTCGAATCAAAATAATATAGCGGGTTACAATCTCTATTATTCATCTGATTCTTCTCACAAACAATATTTCAAGTCTCAAACAATATTTTAAGTCTTGGAGTGAAATCTTCACCTTGATCTTCTCCTTGACTTGATTTAACTTGAATTAACGTAATCCGAAGGCTTGAAAGCTTTTTCCCGGATCAAACGTCAAAATATCCCAAGAACGCGAAGAACACGAATCCTTGGTCTTCGACGCAAAGTAGATCTCGAATCTTCTTCACGCCGGTTTTGAATTTACTACCGTTATTCGGAGGCTTCGCAGCTTGTTTCCGGATTGAACGCTAGTCTTGAAGTTGAACGCGCTTGAATCTTGCTTTGAATCTTCAAGAACGCCTTTGAATCTTCAAGAACACTTGAATCTCGTCGAGAGATCTTGAACTTGAACTTGAATATGAACGCAATTTGGAGGCTTGACAGCTTGTTTCCGGATTAAACGTCAATTTTGAGCTTAAACTTGTTTGAATCTTCCTTCGAATTTTCAAGAATGGCTTTGAAATTCAAAAACACTTGAATCTCGTAGAGAGAATTCTCTAGATCTCTTGAACTTGAATTTGAATTATGAGGTCTGTTTTTTACTTTCGGGAGAGCCCTTATTTATAGGTGTAAGAGAGAGAGCCCTACCAAATTTAAGAATCGTAGGACGCGATTTGATTGGTCCATGATGATTCACATAAGATCTTCAAGATCCACTTAAATCTTCTAAGATATTCTAGAAGATATGATTTATTTACCAAGAATAAGGATTTGACACTTGGCATTATTTGATTGATCAAGAATTAAAATATTAAAATATCAAGTAATTAACTATTTAAATTTAGGAATTAAATATATGAAAATTCCTAAAATATAAATAGAAAATATGACTTGATTTTTAATAAATTAATTTTCACGTGGCGCCATTTGATTGGACACGAATTTTATGTCTCTACAAACACGTCTAACATAAATTATTATATTGATTGAAGAGAGTAGAGACCCCAAGAAGAAAAAATGCATGTCTTAAGCCTGTGACCCAATAAATGTTTTAGACTCAGGACGGATCCAGAAATTAAGAGTGGACTTGGCTAGATTTTAAAACTCATTTTTTATAAAAATCACATAATATTTTTTTGTTCAAATATTCACTGAAATTGTGCTCGACGAACTTCTACAATAAAAATTCATGAAAAATGCTACAAATATATAATAAATGTACATAACACTCACATGGAATGGGGTTCACTTGATTTTTTCTTTTTGGTGGGTCCCACTCAATGTGAGTGTTATGTACACCCTTATATACAATATTATGTACCTATAGCATTACTCAAAATTAATTATTCTCATTTTGCACTGTATTCGATGTACTTTCACTAGTTTGACGCCGATTCCTTTTTCTAAAGAACAATGATATTAATGGAGTTTTTCCTAGAGATGTCAAAACGGGCTGGGGGCGGGCCAGCCCGCCAAAACCCGCCATTTGGCGGGGCGGGGCGGACCGGCCCGCCATCCTGGCGGGCTGCAAAATGGCAAGCCCGGCCCACGCCTGCCATGGGCCGCGGGCTGGCCCGCCCATTTAACAAAAAAAAAAAAAAATTAATTTATGTTTCATTAAATTAATTTTCCGCCTTTAGCTTTACTGCTCTGAGTCTGAGTTCACAAATAATAAGCCTTGGTTCTTTCTCTGTTGCTATTTTTTGTTTAGCTGTTTCATTTGTTTTGTACTTTTATTATTTACTTAGTTGTTATCATTTTTTTTAAAAAAAAAAAAGAATTGTGACTTAAATGGAAAAAAATACATTAACATTAACATTGATACATTATACATCATAGATTCATAATTACAATTTACATACATTTATTTTATTTTTTTCTGTTAAGGCGGGCCAGCCCACGGCCCGCCAAAGCCCGTGGCCCGCGCGGGCTGGCCCGTTTAGGCCGGCTCCCCAGCGGGCCTCTAATATCCCAGCCCTACCAACTCTTTTGGCGATGCGGGGCGGGGCGGGGCGGGCTAGCCCGCGGGCCCAGACCCGTTTTGACATCTCTAGTTTTTCCTTTCTTGGCTGAAGGTTGATGCTTCATGTGAATTTCTAAAAATTCCACAATACAAATGAATAGATTTTTCAGTGATTAGCAAAATGAAATGCCTACACATCCTAAATTTATATCCAACTATAACATAAAACAACCACTAGAGCATAAAAAAAAATAATAATAAAAAAAATACCACTTATACACAATCAGCAAAACAAGAATTACAACAAAATGATCCTAGCAATATCTATTAAAATCCTAAGAGCATGCTTGGATATAAACAAAAAAAAAAACTGTTTTGCTTGGATTTTTGGTTTGAGTTAGTTAAATTTGTAAAAGTTGGTACGGTTGGTTGTTAGTGGTATAAATAATATTTAAAATAAGATGATTAAAATGAAATTGATGTAAAAGTATGAGAGAGAAGATGTGATGTGATGGTTGGTTAAAATTATGTGAGGTGATGAATAGTGAATTAAGGTTGATGTTGTGTGTAAGAATAATTTATTGACATTATTTAATTATATTGATAATATTGATGATACTGAGGTTGAGTTAAAATTAAGTTAAAAAAAGTGGTTGAGTTAAAAATGATTGGATATTTTGGGTTGAATTTGTATCCAAGCATGCTCTAAAAAGCTCAATTAAAATGAAAAGATATATATAAAGACAATTAGACAAATGAAGTAAACAAAATTTGTTTCATTAGAGTATGTTGATAGTGATGTTTTGTGTGTTATTTCTAGTGAAAAAGGTGGATCAACAATATATAATATTTTATTAGAGTGGTGTTTGTAGTTTTTGGACTTAATAGATAATGAACTATTTTGATGGGTTAGTTGGTTGGTAACTTGGTTTTAGGACTGAGCTAGAAATACATTTTTTTTTTTTTGAACTAATAGGTGTTGAAAAAAAAAATAGCATGCTTGGGCTTCAGGCCAGCCCAGGCCTAAGGGAGACCCGTCCCTGTGTATACTGTTGTATTTCTTTATCAAGCTAAATAAAGAGTCAAGAAAATGATTCTTCGCATCCACTAATATCCACTAATGAACATGTGGCTCATGTATACAACCATGATATGGATCCACTTAAAAATAATGAAATACTTCATGCAACATGTTGATTGTTTGAAATTAACAACACGTAATTATAGTAATAAAAAAGCGATTAATGAAGAACACGATAAACTTGAATGGCTTAAATGTTGGCTTTTATTAAGCTTGCACGTTTGTATATTTCCAGTAAATGCTTAATAATAGATTTGGGTATTTTTCGATGGTTTCTTGTGGCCTCGGTTGGTTACATTATACAATAGGTACTCAGACATTATATCGATGATAAAATTCAATTTTCAGGCTTTCCGAATGTAGCTTCAACTGATACTGCGCTCTACAGGATGGGTTATGGGAGGACGTTCTTGTATTGTACTAATCGTTGGGTACCATTATTTATGATAAAAACAAAGACACCAACCTTTTTCTTTCTCAGTCCCACACTCTGACTAAAATGATGGGCTCTTCATCACCTGATAGACACCTCAACAGAATTCCCGATAAGCCTCTTTTGAATAGCTTAACATCATCCACTTCTGCTCCGCTGATTGCTACTACGAGTGGACTATGAACACTGCTACTACAACTACGCCGAACAATGCTTAAGGAGAGAAAAAAATTGGATCAACAGAAAATGTCATTTTGGAGTTTTATCAACAATTTGCTTGATTCAGTGACTTCTTGATGAGTCATCGGACATGTGGTGTGTTTTGGAGGGTCTTGTGATTAGTAGCAGCGTGTCTATTTGGGGACTGGATTAGTAAGCGGGTATCGATGTTCTTGCTCCGGTAATGGAGGACTGAATATTTTGCAAGGGCAATGGCGGGCTGGTTGTCCACCAACAGAGCTGGTGGATGAGCTTCCTCGTCAGTTAGTTCGACCAGCAACCGACGCAGCCAGACCGCCTGGCACGCCGCTATGGTGCCGCCACGTACTTTGTCTCGCACGTAGACAGCGCCATGATCTTTTGTTTCAGCGACTGCCATGAGATTGGGGCCGATCCAAGAAAGACGAGCACACCAGAGGTGCTCTGCCACCCATCAATGTCGCCTACCATGTCTGCGTCGCTGAAAACCGTGAGCCGCAGCCCACTTCCGCCGCCGGACTTGGGGAAAATGATGCCCTGGTCCACCGTCCCCTTGATATAGCGAAACAGTCGTTTTACTGCAGCCCAATGATCCTCTCAGGGATCCTCCATGAAGTTGTTCCGGAATTACTGTGTTCTCAGTGATGACGTAGTTATCGCCGACTTGCGGTGTTACAAAAGCAGGGT